GACATACGGAGAATGTTACTCCCATGATCCTACAGGACTGGACTGCTCAAACTTCGATGTGAGTCCACCTGATGGACGGAGGGAACTTTGTAAAAAATGCACAATCAGGAGCAGAGGCTTTGGTCTGCCTAAGATTCCGCACTTCTAGCAAATTCGGGGGTGATGTAAACACTGCTGGTTTCAGACATTTTGAGTGGGAAGGTTGTGAAAGATAATTGAAAAAGACCAAATCTTCCAAGACAGCACTATAATCATCCCTTAATTTTAGTAACCTGGGATGTTTCTGTCTTGAAATAATTGCTCCATGTGGAATACTTGTCTAAGTGCTGGGTGTTAACCAAGAAATGGAATCCCTCTAAATTTGATTCATATACTCTTTTAATTTGGAGAGCTCATGCCAACACTCACGTTTTTTTCTCCCTCTAAAGTCCTGAATTTTTAATACTGTCTAGGTAGCGGTATAAAGCAGATTGGAAAGGCTAAGTGTCCTTTGGAAATGGTGTGTGTGTGTGTGTGTGTGTGTGTGTGTGTGTGTGTGTGTGTGTGCGCGCGCGCGCGCGCGCGCTGGTATCAAGGGTTAAACTCAGGACCTTGAGCTCTTCTCGTTCAACTTTCTTGCTCACAGCTAGCACTCTACCACGTGAGCCACCACGCCATTGGGTAGCATTTTGCTGGTTCATTGGAGATGGAATCGTGCAGCTTTTTTTCTGCCTTGGCTGGCTTTGAACATTGATCCTCCAGGTTCTTGGCCTTCTGAGCAGCTAGGATTAGAGGCCAGGCGTGAGCCACAGCTGTCCATCATGGAATGATTTTGAGGATCATCTAACTCTTCTGTTGCCCACATAGTTATCCAAGGAGGGAGTCCAGGGAGGTTCACTTTCATACAAATGCCACCAGCACTCCCAGAAATAGCTTTTCTAGGTTCCCTAGGGGGGAATCTTTTCGGAACCACTAATTCATCTTGATGTTTAAGGACTATTGCTATGCACTACCAGGTTATTTTCAAAAACTAAACATTTTTGGTGGTTACAGGGTCAAACTCAGGGCCCTGGGCTTGAAGGCATTCTAGAAACACACACACACACACACACACACACACACACGCCCTTTATGTTGCTGTTCCTTTTCAAATCAGTTTTTCCCCTTTTAATCAAGGCTGGCTTGTTCTTCCCTATCCCCTTCCCCTCCTCTCCCCCCCCCCCCCCCCCAGCCATGGCCCATCCTCAAACCTCCACCTCCCACATCGCTGGTTTATAAACAGAGGCCACCACACCTGGCTTACAAACTAAACTGTTGCTGGTGACCTGGTATATGCCACGGGATGGGAAAGTACTCATTTTTGCAAAGTACCTGGGAAAAAAAAAAGGCTAGTAATTATTGCTCTAAACCAGCCTCATTTTCTCCTGTTTAGATTTTCTAAAGTGGAAAGAAAAATTTAGGGGAAAAAATGGCTCCCCAAGGAAGGGCCTGATTTCTGCCTGCCCCCCGTGTTCCTGGGGTACCTGGGCTGATGGGCCCTGCTCCCCTCTCTCCTCTATCACCACATCTTCAAAAGCAGCTGCCCGGTGGGACAAAATGTTTATATTCACGGCTTCTGCATTTTTATGCTTCCTGAGAGGGAGTGGATGAGGCCGCCTGAGGTGGATTTTTAATATCTAAACAGTAAATGAAGTAGTACCGTAATCTCTTCAGTGAGCTCATGGAAAAACTTGAGTCATCAAAGGTTAGTTTCAGAGACACGGGGAACAGGATCCGGTGAGGTCACGTGACTTAGCCCAGCACTCCAACATCTAGGACTGAGCCTGTATTTGAATGCTTTTCAGTATCCAAACTGAAGTCCAAAGGAAGTGTTTTTAGCCTGGCACCGGTGGCTCACAACTGTCATCCTAGCTACGCAGGAGGCTGAGGATCGTGGTTCAAAGCCAGCCCCGGCAAGAATAGTCTGTGAGACTCATCTCTCCAAGGAACCACCAGAAAGCCAGAAGTGGTGCTGTGGTTCAAAGTGATAGAGCGCTAGCCTGGAGCTGAAGTGCTGAGGGACAGTGTCCAGGCCCAGAGTTCAAGCCCCATGACCAACAACAACAGCATTTTTGCTTTCAGTCAATTCAGTGAGCATAACCCTGTATCTTCACTGACTTGGACTACATAGACCAACTATTGGAGAATGGTGGGAATAACAGGAACTCACAAAGATTGGCTGTTTTGCTGGAATTAGATCGTGTAATCAACTCTAGCGCCCCGTGAGGTGGGGTTTGTCATTATCTTGGAGGCCCAATTCACTTTCTCTACGGCTACGCAACTAGAAGGGAGCAGAGCTGGCCTTAGAACACAGGTCCCCTTTCTCTACACCAATCCCATTGTTCATTGGTAGACTCTGGCTCTGGGATCCAGGTTCTCAAGTCGAAGCCATAGAACCAAGTTGCTGAAAGCGACTTGCTCCCTTTGGAGGGTATACTCTTCAGGACCCCCGTGACTCTTCAGAGGGTTCCTTTCAACATCAGTTCCTACGTGATTTCAACTCATGGGGCAGCAATGCTTTAGGCTTTCCACCATCCATCTCAGTGCATATGAGTTGCTCTTCCCTCAGACGTATTTTGGAGAGAAATCCTCTTAATCCAGACCGAAATATATTCGCTAGTCCTCACCAGTGAACTCCACCTAGACAGAGACCGGGCGTAGAGAATCTCTCTCTCTTGTGACAGCAGGTCCTAGCCCTGGTACTGGCCCCCAGGTGTAGCTACAGGAGTAAACGATCCATCTCATCCATCTGGAGCTATGGGGGTAAGTAGGCAAGGAGACAACAAAAAGGGTCTTCGGTGTAAAAGATGACAGCCTTGGGTGGAAAATAAAGAAATGTTCTAGGAAACTTTCTCTAGTCTTACCATCTCCCATTTCTTGAGTGCCAATAAGACCACAGAAATCGCTCAAGAAACCCCACCCCTCCTGGCGGTGACAGTGGCTCTCTGGAATTCTTTCTAGTGGCTTCTGGGTGTCTCTGGATCCTTCTGTCCTTTCAGTGGTCCCTTTCTGCCTGTCTCTTACCTCTTTACCTTCTCCAGGTGGATTTTCTCCTGAGATAGTGCATGTATGTGTTCTGTGTGTTTGGGCTGGAACTCGGGGCCTGGGCACTGTCTCTTAGCTTTTGTGCTCAAGACCGGTGCTCTGCTACGTGAGCTACTCCCACTATTTTGTTTTGTTTTGTTTTTTGCAGGTTAATTGGAGATAAAAGTCTCATGGACTTCCCTGCCCAGGCCGGCTTCGAACTGTGATCTTAGAACTCAGTCTCCTAAGTAGCTAGGATGACAGATGTGAGCCACGGGCAGGTACGCAGCCCTGTCGTCTTGTTCTTACTCTCTCTTGAGCTCCACCACCGCTAGTAGTGGAGTTGCAGGCTGCACCTCCAGTCCTCACACCTCTCCTGCACTGCAGACCTGTGAATTCGTCTCCCTTCTGTCCACTTGGTAACGCAGCTGGATGGTTTGCCATGTGAACACAGCTGAAGTCCTGACTCACTTCATCTCCCAGCTCCTGCCTGCTCCTCTCTACTCACTCCAGAGGGCCTCTAGAGTTTTCTGCCCTCAAGATTCTGCCCCTCCAGCCTAAATCAAAGCTCCCCATCCTCTTGGGGCTCCTTGTCCCTCCAGCCCATTGCCCCCCTCACCCCCTCGTTGGCTTTTAGGGCTCCTTCCCACCTCCTCTCCCTCAGATCTAGCCTCCCTCTCCGAGCCTCTCCCGACCTTGTTTCTGATACAGTGAACACCATTCCCGTTCGTCTCATAGGCAGCGTTGCTCTCTGTCAACAGTGTCCTCCTCCACGATCACCTTCCCACCCCCTCTCCTGTCCGCAGTCCCAACTCTCCTTCCCAGACCGCTCTCTGCCCCAACCTCTCCTCCATCATGTCATCGCCGGCTTCTTGCTCCGCAAGCTCACACCTGGATTTCCTTCACTCGTTCCTTACTCTCCTCCTACATACAGCAACCAAGTTCTCCTGAGTCTCCTCGATCTCCACCTCCGTCCATCTTCCCCTCTCCTACCATAGTTCAAGCCTCCGCACGCTCCTCTCCTGGCCTCCTCATCTTCCCACACCGCCCATTGGCTCACCTGATTTTACGCGGTCCCTCAAAGCCTGCTCATGACACTGATCATGTCACCTGCTTGCTTTCTCATCACCTGGAGGACTCAGCTTGGGTCTGGGCCCCACGAATGCCCCATGCCCTCCTCCTTACTCTTTTTTTTTTTGTCAGTTGTAGGGCTTGAACTCGGGGCCTGGGCGCTGTCCCTCAGCTCTTCAGCTCAAGGCGAGCGCTCTACCACTGGAGCCACAGCGCCACTTCAGTTTTCTGAGTGGTTTATTGGAGATAAGAGTCTCATGGACTTTCCTGCTCTGGGCTGGCTTTGAACCACGATCCTCAGATCTCAGCCTCCTGAGTAGCTAAGATGACAGGCGTGAGCCACCAGCACCTGGCCCTTCCTCCTTCCCCCTCTCTCCATCCCTTCATCCAGATGGGCCACTGGAGTTTCCTAAAGGCATCTTCTCTCTACTCGCCTGGCTACATCCTTTCCGTCCTTCACATGGAATGGCAGGTATGGCCTGTCTAGGCCTGGTGCTTCCTCCGATTCCCCAAGCCCCAGCCGCCCCTCTGGGGACATGGTTGGTTTGGCCCATGGACTACTGCACCAAGCCAAGACTGGCAGTGCCACGTAGCTGGTGGGTGACTAATAGGTGCTGAGATGAGACTTCACCGTGTGACGGTTCCCTGGCTTGCTCAGCGCGCTCCAGGGTGGCCTTGCTTCTACCTTTCCGTGTCTTCCTGGCACCTCTTTGGCAGGTGGGGCTGCGGAGATGTTTGTGAGCACCAAGGTGAAGTCTCCACCCTTCTCCCACAGCAGCCTCGGGCCAAACAGATCCTGTCCTACCTTTGGAGTGGGGGGAAGAGGCGGCAGGAGGAGGTGGGGCTTCTGTCCACCAGATTAGCTCTTCATCTATGCTTCTGTTAGCATGACCCACCTGGAGCGTGGAACAACCCAGAAGCCAGGTCTGGGGGGCCTTCAGCTGTGGGAAAGCCCTACACACTGGACGGTGAGTGGGGGGGGG